TAGCCCTGTTAGGCCATACAGGTAACAAGTTAAGCTAACCAGATATCAACTTCATCTGGTACGCTAACAGGTTACTCCTTCCGATGAACTAAGTTGAGTCAGACTGCTGTGACATGCGCGCACCGTCGTGTGGCTGGTTCCTTATGCAAGCGCTGTCGGCCAATAACATGTCGAATGCATAGTAGACAAAGCAACCTGTACGCATGAGTAGGGTAGGTGGGTTAGGGGAATCACTACAGCCCGGAGTTTGCTCGTGTGAGACTTGGTACATGGGCGGTGACGGATTACATGACGGCGGATGGGGGTAGTACCTCTTTAGTATCTGAGGTCACCCACGGCAGGCTAAGAGGAAACGGGGTCAGTGTATGACAACAAATTTGAGCGCGATTCACAACAGCATTATAACAGAGGCCTGTTATGGAATCGGGTCACTGGCTACTCGCATTCTGACACGGCCGACAGTCCGTGTCACTAAGCTAAACCCCAGGCGCTTGTCCGTACGATCTATCGCGTGTTGTGAACACATGGCGCGCTACCGGGCACTAGGCACAATACAAGTGGCGCATAGAAGCGCGTAGGCCACAGGTTACTTTGGTCACACCGCTAAATCGCATGTGCACCGGTAGATATAGGCACATGCATTGGTGAGATGATACCAGCGCAGAAATCTTTCTGGCGTCCTACGATTGCGCTGGGCGACGTATCAAGGTGGACAATAAGATGGTAATGCAGCTGACATATGAGTTGTCTTAGTGCTGTTCCACGGCTAACACGCAATGCGCCTCAAAGCAACGTGTAAAAGTTACGCTGAGTATTGTTTAGTAGAGGCAATTAAGTGAATGCTGAACGAGTCCCGTAAGTAGATGGGGGGTAGACCACAAAATCCAAAGATTATAGTGACACCACAGTTAGGCGTATACTAATGCTGCGGTGATACCATGATGTGCTATGGGTAGAGAAGTAGTGATGCAAGACGAGGCTGAGAATGGGATGTTTACACAGGGAGCGAGTTACGGGCTCGTTGTACGCCGTCGCGTGCTCCTGCAGCAATGCCTTCCTACTGTGGGCAATTGTGAATGAGTCTCGCTTGTTCCGCAGGCAATCAACGCAGCATATCAGAGCGTGGGAAGTTCGACGCTGTCCATCTGGTTATGTATTACATACCACAAAGCCAATGTTTCCGGATATAAAGTGAGTGAGCAACCACTTTTAACCAGAATGAAGTATCTAACGGAGGGTGGATGAACAACCTAGATTACTACTCGCTTCTGTGTGGACTATCATCGACCATTAAGAAGGGGTTTGTACCACCTGGTTGTCGACTGTGTTCGCAATCAGCAACGAGTCGGATGCTTCAGGAAACGGTTCATGGTCCCTTTACTGCTATACTAGTACTGTTCCGGTGCCATAGGTAGTTTGTTGACACTCAAAACTGTTGTCAGCGGCTCTCGACGGTTCGTGACATATATTAATCGCCTCACAGCTTAGCTGGTAACCGTTTTAAGAACTAAGGCGTTGGCTCGGGATGCAGAATAGTTAATCGCTTCTCCTACCTGGGTAACTGAAAAGCTCCATGTGCAGATAACACACTTGCACATGAATTTACGTAATCCACAGATCGTTTGCAGAATACATGCACGCCAAACTTATCGGGAGACATAGGTGAAGAAGCCCGGCAGTAAGCTGGTGTACGAGTTGTGTTTACTGCGCGCGCAGAAGCAGCGCTACTTGTTTGGATTCTAATTAACGACTAATCCTGTGCAATTTAAGTAAAACCCTCCATAAGATTGTGCAGCCGCGAGGTAACCAAACACTCAGCTAAAGATGAGTTCTACCGTCAACTATTCTACCTACTCCATAAGAATCATTGCAAGTATATGGTGGTTCTCATCGAGGACCTCAGCGCACCGGTTGGTAGGCTCGAAGCTTTGGAACAAGATGTTGGTAGTCTCGGTTGCTATGATATTCGCATGACGGCTTAAGAAAGCAAAATAAAAGCATCAGCAGTATGTCATTACGCAGTACCGACACCATGCTGCCATGCAAGCACCATCGGGGTCGCATGTGGACTAAGGAGGCTTCGAGAGTCGCCCGGTCCCGACCCAGGCTCCAACCAGCGTTGTCAGATTACGAAATAAGCCAAGCTCAGCGAACAGTTCAACAGCCATCTGAACAACCTGAGCTACCAGTCTTCATTGCTATAACCAAGCTGGTTACCTTTAGGCTACGGGACTGATGAGGTCTAGCGCCACAGATCTCTGCTGCTCACGGTCGTGGATATAGACTGACCACATGGTGATCGATTACCATTGACGAGGCTGTTGATGGGACAGCAGATCAAGTTGAAGTACTTAACTCACTTCTGATCACGCGCTTGTATGTACTAGAATCGTCCTGCATCTTTTGGCACCTAGCAGCATCATCGGACACGGCTAGAAGTGGGTGAACTTGTTGTTTCAAATAAGCTGAATGCCTTTCGGAATTCGTCACCTATTCTGAACAGCTCTCTACTCGTAGATGTTGATGCGCATTGCACAAATATCTGGAATGCCGTGCACAGATCTGCCAATGCCATCTGTATGTTCACTAGGCACATCATCAACGGACAGATTTCCGCTCGATGTTCAAGTTATGGAAGATCACCGTACAATTACAGCAAATCTACGCTAAGCTCTGAACACCGAGCTCAAACAACTCACCATGGAAGATCGCGGAGCCTGATGGCAGTGACCGTGCATTTTGCAACGCACCGCATGTGTACCGTGAGGCATCCAGAGCTACTGATTTCCTTCCGGCATTCGCGCGGAAGCATCCAAGGTAGCGGACTATTGTTTCTACCGTACTGCATTTATCGCCGAGCCCGTACCATCGTGACCGATTTACAGGTTCCGGCCTTTCCCCCCCCCCCCCACCCAGAAGGGAGTGTAAACAGGTCAGCTGCAGGT